GGAATGGAGGTGAATCTTTTTGAATGTGGGCACCTGAAAACCTGCTGGGTGATGAAATCTCTGAGTAGAGGGCCCAGAAGGTGACAGCTGTTTAGGAGAGCAAGCAGAGAAGTGTCTTTCTGCTCAGAAATTAACTGAATCACCAGTCAGGAGCACCTTGGAGGACATGTTCAAGAAACAAACTCAGAATCATAGGCTGGTTTTGCACTGTCCTGGTATGCCTTCAGGAGAGGGGCAATGCTTTGCAGATGTCAGACCTGGGGATTAGACTGAGATCTATTTTAGTCCCTCAAGACGGGGAGACCCCAATTTCTCCCCAAAGTTGCATTATTTTGCATTTACTGTTTGCAGATCATGTATTAATTGGATAATCTAGGCAGGATTTATTTGGCTATGTTTAGACATATGGCAGTTTCTCTGTGTTGGCATGAAGGAAGCTTGAAGTGCTCAAATGGAGATTTTTATTCTGTAGCTCTCTAGAGACAGGTGAGGTAAGTGCTGTCTTTGACACTCTTCAGGTGTTGTCAAGGACAGCAAGTTTCGTAAAAAGCTGTGCTTGTGAAGGTGTTTAAAAAGCATTTTCAAGCAGATGAAGCTGTCATCATCTTCTGAACAGCATCAATATCTTTACTATTAGCTGAATGCGTAGGGAGCACATTTTGCTTTTGAGATCCTCTGGAGACCAACAGGCATCATGGTGAAGATGATGGCACAACCTAGTGGTGTCAGGTTTTCAGTATGGGGTTTCTGTCTTTTTGTCTGGCAGCCAAGAGGGGTAACGCCATGACCAAAGATGGATTCCTGATGTACCTGCTGTCCGATGATGGGAATATATTCAACTCCTCCCACCGTAAAGTTTACCAGGACATGACTCAACCTCTCAGTCACTACTTGGTGTCATCCTCACACAATACCTATCTTATGGAAGACCAGCTCACAGGTCCAAGCAGCACAGAAGCCTATATCAGGTAATGTACGCGTCTGTGTGTTTATGTGTGTGGGTTGACCTCTTTATTACGGAAGACATAGGGTGCATCTCTACTGTTAGAAGCAAAAGGACCAAGAAGCAATCTCCCACCCTGAGAGCAAGAGTGTGAACTGGCCCATGTTCACGTCAGGGTGAGCTGTTTCTAAACAAGCTGGCCATGCCCCCCTTTTCATAGCACTTTGACCTAGGTCTCTGCTGGGCCCAGGTGTTGCCCACCTGGCTGTAGGATGTATAATTACTACATTTGGGAGCAGTTTAAAGTATCTGAAGTCATGTGGAGGCTGGTTTCAACCCTCTAGCATGTTTTTTTTCAAAGCATGATGCTGAGGGGATCTGTTGCATGCCCCAGAATATGGCATGAGATCATTTGTGGAAGGGACTTGTAGAGTGTAAAGATTTCTGGGGTAGAGCTGCAGGGCTGTGTAGGGACTGGAAGGAGCCCAAATGATGCATACTGTGATGATGCTTACAATCTGTACTGCCTTTTGGGAGTAGCCCCTGGAATGGACTATCCCTAGAACCATGCTGGGGTTCATTTTGGAGAGAGCTCGTTGGAGTGGTACAAAAAAAGAGGTGGGTTGTGAGCTAATGAAGCAGTCTGGGTGATCAGGAGACTTATGCCTGGTCCCTCTTTAGCAGCTCAGATGCTCCCATAGTGCCCCTGGACGGAACAGTAGGTGTTGCCTATTTCTGCCTTTAACGTCGGCTGCTGTCTGACGTCTCACGGTCAGATGTTTGCAGCGGCCTTTACTAACTTGCACAACCACCATACATTAGTTCTGCCATGACCTGTACTTTTATCAAGTGGGACGGTGTTTCCCTATAAGCAAGCCACTGACTGCAGTTCTGTCTTTATTTATTACTTACCTGATTCTTGGGGAGCAATGGTTGTCTAGAGTCACAAGCTTAAAAAAGCAGAGAGTGAAATCCAGCACAAGTTGCTTTTTGGTAGCTGTTTGAATGCCTCTTACAGTATCTTAAAATTACAGAATTATGTTCTGGTTGTTAAAAAAAATAATGCCATGATTCTTATTGCAATGAGTTAAAGGAATTGTGTATATGAAACGTTTAGGGAATTACTATAAAAGAGGCAAGACCACCTTCTAGACAGATAAGTCTGTACAGGGGGAACCTACATTTGAAAGTAAATTAAAATGAAAGTATGGATATGTAGAGATGGGAGTTTCAAGTTGGAATTCAGTCTGGAGACTCAGTTTGGGAAACTGGCCCTCAGTCTCCCCGTCTGCGGTGGAGCTCCCACAGCTCCCTCCCTGACTGCTCTGAGGATTCATCTCTTGTGTCTTAACAGATTTAGATGAAGAAATTACATCATCCAGGCTTCGTGACCTGGATTCTAAGGCTGACTGTCCTACTGTCTTTCTTCCAATGCAGCCACTCTTTTCTCTTCACCATCTTTGGGAAAAGACTTGGGACACAGTCATGAGTGTCCTTTCTTACCTGGCACTCACTGTGACTTCTTCTTTGGATAATTCTTACCTTGGACTTTCACCACCTCCTTTCTCAGATCCCACTGTGCTTTCCTTGCTCAGCCTTGAGCTCTCTTTGCTGACTCTGAGCTCTCATGATCCCATCCTTTCTCCATCTGCTTTCCTGTTTCTCCAAGCTCCTCTTTTCTCCCTTGCTCCCTGAACTTCCTGTCAGCCTTCCCGGGCAATACCTGTGCCTGATGCACCCTCATTTTGAGATGGAGCAGAAGGTTTAGAACCCAACCAGGTCCATTCTTTGTTTCCAGAGCCCTCACCAAAGGCTGCCGCTGTGTGGAACTGGATTGCTGGGATGGCCCTAACTCGGAGCCCATCATTTATCATGGCTATACTCTCACCTCCAAGATCCTCTTCAGCGATGTTATTAAGGCCATCAAGAACTATGCTTTCAAAGTAAGGACAAGGGACCTTCTAAGATTTCTCATATTGCACAATCCAAGACTGATAGTAGGTCTCTGCCTTCCCAGCAGAGAGCATAAACAATGAAGACTTCACCTTAGCATTTCTCATGGGTATGAGATGTGTCCTTCTGTCTGGGCTTCCATGTTCTGCTTTCTGCAGAGATCCATTCCTGGATTGCTGGACAGGCAGAGCACTATCTGAGGATGAGTTTGGATCTATACCATCACAGCTGCATCCTGGACCCCACTGCAATGAAAATGCCCAATATTGAGCATATCTGGTGGGAAGTGCAAACAAGCCCGTGATTTGCGTGGCTTTGATGTCTCAGGCTCTGTTCCTAGTTTAGAGGAATGCATGTGCATGTGTTTTGGAGGGACTGATACGAAGGACTGCTTCTACTCTGCTTTAAAAGGAATGAGCAGATCTGGAGTTTTATATGGCAGTGCTGGGCCAGCAGCCTTTAAAAAACCTTGGGTCTGCCCAGACTCACTGAGCTTTCTGCTATTTTCCTTCAGTACTCTTGACTTGAGAACTAGTGTCAGGTTTCCTTGGGGGCTATAAAGCAGTGACAATGGCAATGCCTTCAGCGCACACAATGTCAAGGAGGGGCACAGGGAACCAGATCAGGCCTATGCACAAATGGAGGAAGGATTCATGTGACATAAGGATTTGAGCAAACCTAGTAATTTCAAAGCCTCCCTTCCCAGTCCTTCCTCTGAGGTGTGCAAGTGGAGAATGGAGGCACAGGGAGCCTCATCAAAGTACCCCAGGAAGTCTGTGGGAGGCATCCTGACCCAGCCTGTTGCTGGGTCATCGTCTCTGGAAGGCATCAGCAGAGATCTGAGCAGCTACTGCGCAGTCAAATTTGTCCAAAATTTTAACAAATGGTCATTTTAGCAGAATACTAGACTCTACTGTTGACACACTTATTTCCAGAGAAAGCAGCACTGGGGTTTATATCAGTTGCTATTGACTGGTGAAATTGCAGAGCTCACTGATGATGTATGTTGCTGTCTTGTTCTAGACCTCGCCATACCCCGTCATCATCTCCCTGGAGAACCACTGCAGTGTCGACCAGCAGAAGGTCATGGCTCAGCACATGACGACAATCCTGCAGGACATGCTTTTGGTTGCCCCAGTCGATGGAAACAAATCCCAGTTCCCTTCCCCAGAGGTAAGCAAGGCCACTCCAGCACATTCTGCCTTCTGAGGTTGGGACAAGAAAGAGGTCTGTCTTCTTGCTGAGTGCCAAGTAATGGACAGTATGCCTGAGGACTGGTGGGAATTGCGCTTGCTGAGGAACAGATTGTCTGTGGCAGCAGTGGAATAAGACATAGGAGTAGCTAGAAGCAGCCTGCGCACATCAAGCATCAAAATACCCTGTTGCTCCTTGTTTGTTGTGTAAGGACTCAGAAGAGACATCCCTGAGGGCCTGGGAATCTTCCTGGTCCATTTATCAAGGCCAGGAATGTCCTTCATCCCATGAGGAAGTTGCTTTTCTGGCTTGTCCCAAGGAAGCAGGGTCCTGAGGGTGTCTTGTGTCTTCTCCTTGCACCTGAAAGCTGAATATGACCTTTTTCAGGCGAATCCGCTGTAGCACAGTTAGGTTGCTGCACGCGGACTACAAGGTGTCTCTGTGTTTTTAATTCAGCAAGACCGGACACTGCCTGATTTCATGGTAGGAGAGATGTTTTGCTCTATGCTGAGGGATGTAGCATATGGTCCCCTCCTCCTTTAATGTCTTGAGTGCTCTACTGGGGAGATCCAGACTGCTGATAGGAAGCAATGAGGGCTGGAAGGACAGCTGTGATTGCCTGCCCCTCAAAACTCAAGGGGAAAACCAGTACAGGTAGCCTAAAGCTGTATCAAGCATGAAGTGTCCTCCTGCTGAGAATGGCCTGGGGTGGTGAGGATGGAGATGTCCATGCAGGACAAGGGGAGGCAGGAGGCTGCATAGAGATGCCCCTTTGATTCTCATGAATCAGGGCAGCCATGAAACTGGGGGCTGAGCTCAGACCCTGCAGGGGGAAGGAGATATTCAGTCCTTGACAGTGGACTGCCATTATAAAATCATTAGCTGATAATTAGAAAAAATTGAAAGTGGAATCTTGATATGGAGAAAACCCACCTGTTTCCAAAACAGAAGCCAAAATGAAACATTAATCTGTTTCCTCACTTTGGGTTTGTGTTTTCTTTCTTTCTTTTCTCTTAAGCACTTTGCAGAAACAGCCTTCTGTAGGGATGGCTGCAGTCCCCTTTAAATTGCATTTCTCTGCTAAAGAAATAATTTGCCAAAAATTGGATGAGCATGTCTAGCCAGAGCTCGAAGGAGCTTGTGGGTGGGATAGAGCTGGCAATCAGCAAGGGAGAAAGGAGAGGAAAAGGATCCACCCAAAATATCTTCTATATTTGTTCTCCCTTTCCCTTGTTCTCTTTTCCCTTTCTGACTTTCCCCGTTTGTTTGGGAGTGTCATGTCTGGCTTGATACAATGCCTAGCACCGAAGGAGGCTGATCTGGGTTGGTCCCTAGGCACCAGTGCAATAAATTAGAATGAATCATAATTTTCAATGCTGCTGCTCCGGCAGGACCTTTGCACGAGCACAGATAAGGTGCCTCCATTTAAGAAGTGACTCTCCCAGGGTGAGGGTACACCCAGCATGGAGACAGGTCCCTGCAGGCTGTTATTGAGCTGGAAAAATCAAAGTCTTCAGTGTCACCTCCTGGCTTGCTATTTATCCCCAGTGCAGGATCAGGAAAGCTGCTGCTGGCTTTTCAAAACTGCCTTGTGACCAGAGGAATGATATGAAGAAAGAAAGGAGGAACACCAGGGCAAGAAATGTGTGATGTGAGTGTAAGGGAATGACCTCAGCTTCCCAAAGATGTTTTTCCTCTTCCTATGCTCACGTAACCTCCTGCTCTGACTGCCCAGCTAGAACAAAACAGCCCAGATCTACCTTAATAAATGGATTTGGGCTGATATGTTCCATTGGAAGGACTGATCCATTTAGTTTAAAGGGAGAAAATTTTCCAATGTAGCAAGACCTATCCTTTTCCCTCTGATCCTTTTTCTCTGCCTTCCTGGAGAGTGCAAAGGGTTGAACTGCTGATTTTTTTGGTGGAAAATACATTGAAGTTGAAACATTAAGAAAAAAACCCCAAACAACAAGCCAGAAACCTCTTGGATTTTCCACTTCCTTGTGAAGCTGGCACGTGGAAGCCCAGTATGATGTACTACTTTTTATATTAGAAAAAAGGTGGGATTTATCACTGGGAAGAAGACAGAAAGGCTGTAAATAAAAACAGGCAAAGAATTGCTGCAGATTGTGTTAGCAGGGCAGCGTCACTAATTAGAGAAAGATCAACATAGTTTGGATTTAGGCCAACAATTCCTACCACAGCCTGGGGCAGGCATCTGATTTATTAGGCTCCGTTCAGGAACAGTGTTGGACTACACAGAGCATCTAAATATCTCCCTCAAGCTGCTCTCTTTACGTTCCAAACCTAAATGAAAGGCCTATAGGATGAAAGGCCAAAAGCCACACCAAAGCTCCAAGCGGTGCCAGGGTTGTAGGGAAGCTCCAGGCAGTGCCAGGGTTGTAGGGAAGAGCTGCTCCATTTTCTGCTGCTGATTGCTTGTGGCTTCTGCCCCATCCCTGATCTGCACAGGGGGCTGCCAGGGCCCCTTCCCAGCTAGAAATGCTGCAAAAACCCAGCCCTGGAACAAGACTAAACCAGCTGCCAGCAGTGCAGGCAGCTATTCAGCGTATCAGGCGTATCTGAGACCCCTCCAACTCGTTGTTGCTGGATTTCCTTGTTTACAGCCACAGCGGCTTTGGGTTCAACGGACCTGTCTCTGCCATTATGTACCTCCGCTGTCCCACCAGCTGCCCCTTCAGTCACATCCATTAACTGTGTCCAGTGCCCCCAGTCATCATCAATCCAAGCCATCCAGCTCAGGAACCCCTTCCAGCATAGCTGTGGCAATGCAGGGCTCAGCACAACTGAGCTGAACAGCAGGGTGGCTTGACCTGCTCTGCTCTGTGCTTGCAGCGAGGCAGCAAACACCTCCAGGTTTGGTTCAGCTAAGTCCAGACTAGATTCAGTCACAGGTCTGTAAGTCAGCATGGACCCTAGGAGCCGTCTGCCCAGGAGGGTTACTTTTGCACCATACACTCAAGGCTTCAAGTCCCTCTGCTTTATGCCTAACTTCACAGCTATACCCTTCTCCAAGGTTAGCCTGGCTTGTGTTAGCCTTGTCTGTCTGCAGTGCATCTTCTTGGCTAAAGTTCTTAAGCTGAGTTTCCCTCAAATCTCTCAAAACCCCCTTTGAAAATATGCTTCTTCCCCTTTTCTGCAGACTCTCTTCATCCCCTGGTGCCACTCCTTGTTAAACCCTGCAACACTTCAGTTTACAACTAGGCTGAAAGACATACACAGATGGAGATGTGATACCATTTAGTGCATCAGGTCTGCTCATCTCCTTATGAATGTGAGCGTGTTAATCCTCACAGCTTCTCAGAAATCTGGGGAGATGGATCTCTTCATCCTGAGAGTGGGATGTAAGGTAGAAGTGCTCAGACCCTGTATATCCTTGTTCTTCACTTCGGGCTTCTTTCGAGAACTAGTTGATACAACCAGGTGGTTGGTGGTGTGGTCCACCTCCTCTTAAGTGTTTGTCTAAATAGACAAGAAGAATCACACCCTGGGAGTGTTTAGTTCTCTCTGTTGACTCTAAAGGAGGTGTTGAAGGCACAGAAAGTTTGATGAGGTGGATCGCTTTACAAATCTTCCACTCCCACTGTGATGAAAACTGGATATCAGACCTTGCTGTGGCCTTCAGGTTGCTAATAGGGTCAAGAAACTTTCAGGTAGGATAAACAAGTGTATGTAGATCTTTTAAAATCCTCTGCTCTTTACAGATTTCCTCCTTCTGATAAAATCAGCAGTGTTTTCATTTAAGGTAGTTGCCATGTCCCAATTCACAGATTCGCTTGCAGAGCTGAGCTTGTTCAGCATGTAGTAAAAAGGTGGGAGAGCAGGGGAGCTCCGCTTGTGGAGAACCAAA